CCAGCTATGATTTATCTATTCTATAAGCTTATTGTCATTTTTTTTTTTATAGGCATGCGATGTTCCACCGGAGAGTTTCATCTTTTTCGTTGAAAGTACAATAAGGATCATCAATTGCTGAAGTTTGGCCTTTTGAAGAGTGTTTTGCTCTGAACTGAAACGTGAATTACCTTAGTTGTAGTCTTTTTCTTGTGCAATCCTCTCCCATTTCCCTTTATCTTTGTTCTGTCATTGCAAAGTGATTTTTCGTTGAACGTGCATCAATTTCAGTCCTTTTGTTTCGTTTTGTTTTTCTTTTTCACATTATCCTCCTCGACTTTTTGCCATTTTGGATCCTTTTGATGATTTAATAGCCATTGTTTTACCTGGACTTACATCAATACAATTCTGATTTTTCTAGCTAATGTATGGAGATCACATATAAGAAGTGTGCTTCAAGAATTCTGATTGTTAGTGGTATGACTGCAAATTTACGGATTTATTGTTATTTCTTACTGTCAGTAAGCTGCAGATGATGACTCAGAGAGGCCATATCCCAGGTTGTTGCCAATTCAAAGGAGAAAAATCGTAATTTCACTGAGACTATTGAGCTGCAGATTGGATTGAAGAACTATGACCCTCAGAAAGACAAGCGTTTCAGTGGCTCAGTTAAGCTCCCTCATATCCTCCTCCCTAAGATGAAGATTTGCATGCTTGGAGATGCTCAGCATGTGGAAGAGGTCAGCAACTTGTTCCATCATTTTCCCCCAACTTTTATTGGGCATCCATAACACCTGACTCTTGCCATTTCACTATGTAATATGTTTACTTTGGATGATATATATTGGAGATATTCTCAGTTCTGTTATTTATGAGGTCTCTTTTATGATATTTACCTCAGGCGGGAAAATAGGACTGGACTGCATGATGTGGAAGGGCTGAAAAAACTTAATAAAACAAGAAGCTTGTTAAGAAGCTGCCAAGAAGTACCATGCATTTTTAGCATCTGAGGCCGTCATCAAGCAAATCCCCGTCTTTTGGGCCCCGGCTAAATAAGGCTGGCAAGTAGTTTCATTTTCTATGTCTTAAATACCTCTCTTGAATACTTAAAATGTCTCGTGTTTTGTTCTACTCTGTCTCAAGTCTGCTTCTGTACGTGATTGAAAATGAGCTGTCGCCTCCTAGGAGCATGACATAGAAGTTTTTGACACAGTTTTAATGGGAATTTTAAAAAAAGTTAGGTATTGTCTATTGTCTTCTGATGAGACGCATGTGAAAAATTTCTTGTTGAGCATTCCCTTTATCCAGAACCAGCAGTATTTTTGCAAGAGGAATGGTTATAATTGCTTATTGGCAACATTAGGGATTCTTCAAGTCTTATTGGCCTCCCTTTTTTCTTCAGTCAGTTAATCAAACCTGAGAAATTTCTGTCGCTTATTATGTTCTAATTGTCTTAATTTTATTTGTGAGTCAATGAATGCTGGTCGTCCTGTAATGAAACTATTGTTACTACCGTCAGGTTATCACTGGCTGTGACAGTGGGAAATTTAAACTTCATTCTTGAGGAATTTGGATCTCTATATATATTATTTGTGAATGCAGGTAAGTTTCCAACACTGGTGACTCATCAAGAATCCTTGGAGTCAAAGTTAATGAAACAAAGCAATGGTGAAGTTTCAACTTAAGAAAGTTCTTTGTATGGGTGTTGCTGTTGGAAACTGCACAATGGAGGAGAAGCAGATCTTCCAGAACGTACAACTTAGTGTCAATTTCCTGGTTTCCTTATTGAAGAAGAATTGGCAAAATGTAAGTTGAGAGACCTTGGACTCCATGTCTGAATATGGGATTATCATAAGTTGGGTCCACTACACATAAATCCATAGAATTCATGGTTAACTTTGCTAGATGGAAAGAAGCCACAAATTCAGTGCTTGTGTATTAATGTGAGCTTGTTTTTGTTTGTTACTTACCAAAGGGAAATTAGTGAATATGTTCTTTTTCTGCTCCAAATAAAATTATATATATGTAAATGGGTGTTGGTCTATGCTAACTCACTGGTTTTCTCTGCTGAATCCTGCTTTGACAACTATCTAGGCAACTGCTGGTTCAGCCTGATGGGGTTTGTCAAGATTTCAGAGGTCTAATTGAGGGCCGGATGCCCGGATTGGGAGTTTTGAAGTGGTTACAGGGAGGCAACCCTCGCTGTTGATAAAATACTTTAATGAAAAAACACAGTAACCACTCCCTCCTGTTTGCAGCAAGGAAAAAAAAAACCGGACCGGACCGGCCGGTTCAACCCGGAAAACCGGTGAACCGGTCACCAGTCCGGTCTGGTTCACCTAAAAAACCGGCCCACAGTTGAACCGGTGGAAAACCGGTTCAACCAGTCAAAACCGGTGCTGAACCGGTAATCACCGGTACCCGGTTCACTTTTTTTTGACTGAAGTTGAACCCGTCGTTTTGTTAAAAAAAAAAAACTCTCAATGAAAATCTCCTTCGGCCCTCACTCTCATCTAGCTACCAACTTCGCCTTCGATCTTCTCATCTCCTAAATCTGAAAATCTCCTCCCCCCAAATTGCAGAATCGCCTTGCTCCTTCTCCCAGATTCCAACCTTTCCCTCCACCGGAATCCATACCTTCACTGACGGCGGACCTCCTAGTTGCCATTCACCGACAGATCTCTTGCTTCGCCTTTGCCGTTCACTAGCACGTGCTTCCCCTGTCGCAGCTCAGATCGCAAGTCGCAGCTCAGATCGCAAGTCGCAGCTCACTGGCGTTATGCTTCAAGGATGTTCTGCTTCGCCTTCGTTCACAGAAGCTACCTTTGGTCTGTGCGTTGAGGTATATTATGATAAAATTATAAAAGATAAAAACTAGTGAATGTTCAGCTTGTGGGTGAACATCTGCTGTCTTGTTTCCATGGTAAAACTCGTGCAATTGCCTGAATTGCATATTTGGTGATTAACTACAATTTCCATTTGCTTTCAAGTGTTGGTAAAGTGTTGTATAACTATTAAGTTTGAATTGAATTGTACCAGAAAAAAGTATGAATTGAATTAATTCAAGAAAATTTTATTTGATATTATGATAAAATTATAAAAGATAAAAATTTAATTTTTAAGATATGTATTTTATTAATGTTCATTTGGTATAATTAAACATTTAAACTACTTCGTTAGCTTCTTATATTTTTCTCAGTGATTATTATTTGTGGATTTTGTTCTATCTAATGTTGTCAATTAAATTTTATTATTTAATATGACCGGTCCAACCCCGTCCGACCCCGGTCCGACCAATAACCCTTGACCCACTGCCTGGACCGGTTTAGTTCCCGGTCCGGTTTTTTTGTTCCTTGGTTTGCAGGTTAGGAAATCTTAAAAGCGCTGGAGTGGATTAGGGTGAAATCCCATCCCAAACCCTAATGTCGAGAGTTTGGAATTTGCATTATGGGTGGGTTAGGATGAGCGGACGCTCTTCCACTTTTATTTTAAATATTGGATGAAGAATTAAGATTTTTACCCCATCACTCCCAACAACCTATCCTCCGACCCAGCCCTTTGGTAGATTTCTCAATTGTTAGTTTTGAAACGTACTGTGCATGTGTTGAAAACTAGTCAGTTTGAATGAAACCATGGCATGCAATGATAAATTCTAACTGTAAGGTTTGCTACTGTTCCATGATTATTCTTGGCTAAAACTAACCTTTGTGCCCTTTTTGTTTGCATGGAAAACAGGTGAGGTGCTTGTACCTTAAAAGTACTATGGGGAGTGCAATCCGAGTATTTTAGATCCCATTACTTCCATTCCCAGCTGCAGGGTGGCGAAGCTGTGATGTGCAGCTCTAAGCTTATTCATAACTAATTCTTCATATCAATTTTGTTTTTGTTGACGGTTTTGTTAAATTTGCTGTGATTGGCGACTGAGAAAATTTTATCCGTTCGTTTCCTTATTTGGTACCTAAATGGTGTTCTGAAATTTAGTTTGCTTACATATTACTGTTTCAACTGGGCACGGATCGTCTCACAATAATTTCGAAGGTTTTGACATTCTTATTTATAAAGTATTTTGTAAAATTTATTTTGTTGCTAATATTTTTCCAAAAATATCTTTAAAAATAATTGTGTGGGGGAGTGGGAATAATCAATAGCTTATGACAGAGAAAATAAGAGAGAAATGAGTATTTAAGTGGATTTTTATGAACAAAAGATTAATTTTCTTAGTATGCGCGGGAAGAGAGGGAGTAATGGTTATTTGTCATAGCACTTTTGAAAGACCTCAATCAAGATGCTAAGTGCTAGCTTGTGCTTCTCTAGTCATCAAAACGAGAAAAAGAAAAATAGATAGATGCACGCTTAGAAATCAAGCTGTTCGAGAAATTATTCCTTTTATTTCCTTTCTTTCCACCATCAGTCGTGATTTTCAAATGTGCGTCTCATAAAAATGAAAGGATATGACAAAACATTATGCAGGATGCTGTCCAGTGCTACGTCATATAGTGTACACGGACACGCTCCTTAAAGCGTCAGCATTACCTTGCATTCCACACATCCATTACCAACTTGATGCAGCCTATATCTTACTTGCCAGCTTGATCTTATTTTTGGCATATCCGCATCATACATTCAATAAATCAGACTAAATAAACGTGTTATTGTTTCCCCTAGGGAGATACAAAATGCGTCTCAGGGGACTTAATAAACAGTATACTAGGACCGATATCATCAAAACATATGAGCAGCGGGAGGAGTCAGGAGGGACTCGCAAGTAACTAAAGTTTTACCATGAATGAACTCTTGCAACTACACCACCAACTGCACTTGGGTTTTCCGTCACCTGCAAGTTACCAAAAACTAGCCATAACTCATCATGGATTATACATCATAAGCAAGTTTTGAAACTTATATTAGGCATGCCCTAGTGAGATTGAAGACAAAACATGATTGTGGAATCACTCAAAAGTAGTTTTTACAGATTATGTATTTAAATTACAAGAACACATCTGATTATGGATAATTGTGCCGTACAAGATGCTTAACAAGCGGACTAGCTACATTAAACTGAAGTGCATGGCATGGCATAGCTAAACTATTAAAAGATAAATCAACTTTATTTAGAAAAATTTCTACAACCAACATTCTAATATCTTCAACCCGAATATGGCCATAATCCTAATTGTCTCTAATCTAAATAATTTCGCATCATTGATAAGAAGTACAGGTAAAATATCATAACAGCAACAACAACTACTAACCAACTCCTTTGATCTTTGATGTAAAACCTAATTACTTAATTTGAGTACATTAAGATGTTAGTTAAATCAGTTAATATGATATTTTTTCTAAAACATCTTAATATTCTCCCTTCATTCCCTCACTCCTTTTCCTATTTGGTTATTGTTGAAGGAATATCAATAGAGTTAATTTAGAAAAAAAATTGATAAACATGTGAAATAAGTCTTACATTAAGAACCGGGGAGTATGATACAATAAAACACCATGTTAAATTTACGAAACAGGTTTGCAACCGAACGAATATGAAGATGACTTTAAATAAACATGATGTTCATAGCTCAAAAGTTTGTTTAACTTACTACAAAAGCTGAACGTATTAGCTCTTCAACATAGTCAACGGTTGCTCCTTTTACAAAGTCATAGGAAACATTATCAACAACTAATTTAATACCTTCTCTCTCAAAAACTCTGCCAGCATAAAAACGTTGCAAGAGACAAGTGATTAGCATATTTATATACAACCGAGAAGATTACAAATCATCATCTGTATTTTCACAATAACAAATATAGACTAACAAGCACATGTACGAATTTTCACAGGGGAAAGAAGATACCTGTCATCTGAATTTATTCTGTCATCTAGATTGAACACATATTGGAATCCAGAACACCCACCAGTTTCCACACTCAAACGAAGCATTTTCTCATCTGCTGATGATTCATTGGCTACTAATTCTTTCATTCTCTGTTAATCAATTAATAAATTACAAAAATAGGTTGGTAATCGAACTTGTAATTACATACATCTCACTTGCATTCGATAAAATCACGAGCAAGGAGAGAATGTCCATCAAACAAATTAAACATTATACAACAACACTTCAGTACCATAACGGGCATTAAAAAAAAAAAATACCGTAAAATTTAGATCATATTTATCATCTTTTAACAAGGTTTTCACAGACAATGAATCCTGCAGCAACCCTTTCAACTGGAGACTTAGGAGTACTTCAGCTTCCTCCTTTTTATTAAAAACAGACTAAGTTTTCAAGTTGAATCGGCCATGTTTAAGAAACTTCACGTGCATCTGTAAACAGAACAGCATGTTCTTATTAAAGCCCCCAGCAATAAATTTGGTGGTTTATCAGGAAAGAAATTTAATGAGTTGAGGGCACTTGCTAATGACGTAAGGAGAAATGACTAATATGGTTAGGAAGTAGCCTCCGAATTACATCTCACTAACACGGTAACAGTGATTAACATGATTATGTTTGTGTTTCTCCAAAGCAGTAAATGGTGTTGGAGACAAATAACAGCTTAGAACTTTTTCACTTGATGTTTGATCTTAAGCACTTTGATGGATGAACTTTAAATTCTTACTTCTTATGAACAAAATCAAGATAAATTGCGTAACCTTGTACCCAAAAAAAAAAAAAAAGGAAGAAGATAAATTGTGTAACCAAAGTTACCAAACAAATAACAAAGCAGGGGATTGACATCCCTTTCCAATCACACTATGAAATAACCAACTGACACAAGAATCATAAAATTGCAGAGAAGACCTGGTGAATATGACATTTTGTAAAACTGGTTATGTTTCTATCTGGAATTGCTTTCTTTCACTACAACTTTTCCGCTCTTAACCTCCTAAGCCTTACTAAACAATCCATCATAACAGAAGGAACTTTGATCTACACTTTTAACAGAAGATTTTCCCCGGGACTCAACTTGCCATGCTCTACACCCCCACCCTTGCCCCTCGCCAAGCCAAGCCAATACAACATGATACAACTGCAAAGGTACAAAGACTTACACCATTGGAGGAATATCACATGGGAAGGCAAGGAGGAATTTAGCCATGTCAGAGCAAGTTGTTGCACAGTTAAATATTTTGTGCCTTGGAATTGGGTAGCATCAACTTACAAGAGCTAAGGCAGGATACAAATGGGGGAAGGGTACTGAAAAAGGGGTGTTGAGGAAGGAAATAGTCTTGGTTATTGGAGTTTCTATCTCTTTCACGAATAAGAGATCCTAAGTTCTCTCTAGTATTGGTTTCTTTCATACTTGGATCCAATTTTGTTTTCTTTGATGGGCTCCTGTCAAACCCCGAAACTAATCCTAAGATGATTTTAACATCTTTGTCCTGGAGAAGTAATCCTTTTTCCGTTGTTTATATAATAAGGAAAAGAGGGGATATCGTCAATATTCGAATGGTAGAAGCATAAACTTATATCCTATTTTACAGTAAGCAAATTTCTGTACTTGAATTTGCCCAAGGGCAGACACACGGAAATGATTAATCCCTTTAACAAATAAATTCAATCAGATTCCCATCTTCATGATACCGGGGGAAAAAAAAAGCATATTAAACCGTAACTCTAATTAATCAAAAGTTGTGAAGTTATCAAGCAAAAACAAATATAAAGTGGCAGAGCAGTAGCATGTATTCTTGTTGATAGAGCAAGACATACTTGTATACAATTTTCAGTCATTTGAACTGGCTCACGAGAAAACGACGAAGACGGAGACGAGGGAGAGGCATGGTGAAGAACAGCAGCAGAAGACGAGCTCAGAAGCCTCTGGTTCTGTCGAATTCGAGCAGTAAAAAATGGCGTGAAGCGTCGAATTAGCGATCCTGACATGGCTATCTCCGTCTCCCCTTCCTCCTCCAACGAACAATTCGTTGTCAGATTGTATAAGCTTCTACTTGATCCCTACGGCCTACAGAGGATCCGCGGCAGTGGACCGTGGTCGGAACGAAACGATGCGTTGCAAGACCTTTCCTGATGGGAAAAAAGGAAATATTGCAGAACAGCGCGTCCCTATGTACGAGGCAAAATCTGAACCGTCCATGAATTGAAGGCCATAAATGCTGTATCAAAATTAAAATATCAACATTCACCTAAATATATATATATATATATATATCAACGTCGTCGTTTTCAATCTTCAACACATTCTCACAGGTCACGGCTCCTCATCAGATGCTGAGTCTAGAAGGCGAGGTTTCGATTCCCACAAAGCCCAAGGGCTCATAGCATCTCACTCGAACTCTTTTCTCGCCCCCAAACTGCGCCTCTCGCTAACCCAATTTCAATCGCGAGTAAAACCGGTGGCATTGAGGGGCTGCATCTGTTCTCGAATCATTAATTTGATGATTGTACTATCATTTTGTGCTCAGAAGAAGGTAAGAAGGTGAAGAAAACTTTCAAATCGTTGTCCTTAATATGCGGGTAGAATTTAGGTATTGAGTAATGGACTAGGATTCGTTGAAGGTTAAAGCTGTTATTACTAGGTGCTAGTACAATGTAGCTGTTATGGGGAAAATTACTGATTGGTGCGATTTAGCTGTGATGCTGATGATATTGATCATATTTTATTCTTCTGAGCTAGCTGCTACACCAATGCTTGAGGGAGTTAGATAGACTTATGTGCATCTGTTGAGAAATCTCTCTTCAATGATGTACAGTGTTTGTGTGTGTTGCCATTTGGGAAGAAATTATTTTGGACGACAATGTGCTAATATCATTGAGAGCTACGCTTTACCCGTAGGTTTTATAAGGGCAGTCAAAATAACTACTTCTGTACTGTAGATTATTGACTGTAGAAATTAATTGAGGTTTTTTCTTTTTGTGCCCCCGATTTAAGGGTATAATTTAGGTTAGAGAAATGAACTCTATGGCACTCATGTGCATTACTGATCTTATTAATAAATTTAGTTTATTCTTTCTGGCTTTCTGAGGATGATTGAAAAATGCTCTTATGATATCCAATGGTTGGTTTGAATTAATGGTATGCATCGTGTCTGGATTTGTTTTTCAGAAGCGATGTAATTAAAAATAATTATGTAAAGAAAGTTTTGTCTGGACTTATGTGAGAACTTTTTTTAAGTCCAAGGTAACTTCCACAGGAACAAAAGTTGCGCTGAAGAAGATGCAGAACAGTGAATCAGCTGGCCTGGAGCAGAAGTTAAGAGCCAGAAAATTAGAAGTCTCAGACAACGGAAAAGGTTTCCTAGAGTTACTACAACAACTTAGTGTCTGTGATTCTGTTTCTGACAAGGAATTTCAGGATCGATTTCACGAGCTCAGTTCTCTTGGAGATGATCATGTTATTTGTGTCATAGAAGATGAACTTTGTGGGAAGATTATTGCTACAGGGAGTGTGTTCATCGAAAAGAAATTTCTAAGAAATTGTGGCAAAGTTGGACACATTGAAGATGTAGTTGTTGATTCCAGTGCCCGGGGAAACCAATTGGGAAGGAAAGTAATCCAGTTCCTTACAGATCATGCTCGTTCAATGGGGTGCTATAAGGTGATACTTGATTGCAGCCTTGAGAACAAAGTGTTCTATGAGAAGTGTGGCTTCAAGCAGAATTCTGTTCAGATGGCCATGTATTTCGTTTGAGGGACGGTGTTTTACCAATTGCCCTCGTTATTTTGTTGTAGTCGAATGTTCTTATAAAAGGGTATTGACATAAATCGTTGTTCGTTTTCGAGTTTTTATTGTCTGACCAGAGATGTTGTCTTAGGCTTTGTGTTATGAGCACGGAATACGGGTTCAGGAAATCTGCTCTTCATTTTGTTATCTTCTACACAGATCACTAATCACAATCGAAGGGATGCATTCTCTATAAAATAAGGCACTCGGCCTATTCAAGGTCACACCATAACTACAAAAGTCAAATCATAGGCCCATCCCAAAATTGCTTGATTATTTTTCTCTCCTCTTATAAACATGTTCACTGGAGGCACTGAGAAGCTCTTTACTCTCACTAAATTTATACGATGATTCAAATTAAGTTATAAAGTTAAGCCAAACCATTTGCTGATCACAAGCCTTGGTTTCTTGTAACTTTATCATAAATTATAAAAAAGTATATGAACATGTCTTCATACCTTGACACCTGCTGGAGAGTTTCCAGGTTTAGCAGTGGTTGTACTTCCAAAATTGAGCTTTGGAGACTCCATTCAAATTCAATTGAGTTCCCCTGTAATTAGACTAAGGGGTTCGGGACTGCATACGGATGTTATTTTATTTTATAAACAACTCCCCCCCCCCCCTTTTTTTTTTTACCAGAACAACTTTTTCCCCTTATAATCACTTAATCAGAGTAAGTTTTATATAAACTCGTAAAATCTACGCAATTTTATAGTCTTGATGCTAATGAGTTACGCATTGCCCCAGGAGAAAAGTGGGGCGCACAGGTGCAAATAAAACAGCGGGGTTTTCTCGAATTCGCATCTCCCGGGAAAAATCATAACCTCTTGATGTGACGTATTCACTCGATTTCTGCACTCGGCGACGGAAATTCAAAAAATCCAGAACCATAACCTGTACGTTCACGGCGAGGCTACCATTCTCTCCTGAACACTGAAGGTCGTAAACGAATTCGGAAGGAAAAATGCTTCTCTTCAAACCTCTGTTGCTTGCAGAAACCCAATCGCTAGTCTTCGCCCCTCTTCCAAGAACACCTGATAAAACCTCATCGATTATCACTACTTCTGCGTCCAGCAACAGAATCAGCACAGCTCCGACGCAGCGAAGAACCATGTCTGCGTTTGAAGTGCGATACTCTCTACTTTTCGCTCTTGCTTCCCAAGCCACTTCTTTGTCTCAGAGACGTAAATGTCCAATTTTTTTTCCTTATAAGCTTTTCCTATCTTTGCTTTGCTATCAATCTAATTCACTTGATTATTTTTACGGATATTCATCACAGTTCTAGCGGACGCGGCCGCTGAGACTGCTAAATACATTTTTCCTAAAAGATTTGAAAGTCGGACTCTCGAAGAGGCTCTGATGGCAGGTATTATAAATGATTGATTTTCATACTCAAATATGAAGTTGTTCTAATTGTTCCTTTTCCGGTTGTGCGAATTATTTTGGATTCTCTGTAGTTCCGGAGCTTGAGACTGTGAAGTTCAAAGTTCTGGGTACGCGGGACCGGTATGAGATCAGGGAAATTGAGGTATATCTAGGTTCCATCTGTATTTACTGGAAGTAGCTTGGCTAAGGAAAATTTTTTTGTCTAGAAAACGAGTACCTTATATATAGTGTGGAAAACTGGCTGCCCATGGCGTGCCTGTGGGTTAAAGTAAATCTTCATTGAATTTGATTTTTCCTTCCGCAGTACCCCCAACATTTTAAGGAGGGTGGTGCACGATAGAGGAAAGGGGCTAGGGAGAAGGGGGAGGGAGGGAGAAATAAAAAGAAAAGAAATGAAACTTACGTGATGCACGAAAAGGATTTGGAGTTATATGAGCTTCCTTGTAGTACTTGTACACACACACACTGGGCACAAAACTCTCCATATGCTTAGAAAAAAGAGTAATATGCTATTATGGTGAACAATCTTGTCTTGGGCTGTCGGGCATGTCTCCCCTTAATGTGATTTTATCCATGCAGCCTTACTTTGTAGCAGAGACTACGATGCCTGGGAAGAGCGGCTTTGACTTCTATGGTGCCTCCCGGTCCTTTAATGTCCTAGCCGAGTATCTTTTTGGCAAGGTTATTTTTAGTTTCAGAACTGAACTCCAATTACGTTACTTTGCTGCTTTTGGTCACTACACCTCTTTCTTCTGAGTAATGGTGCTCGCACATCACTTACACCCGTACAGTCCTTGCTCTCTTCATTGCAAATAACCAACTTTATACACATTCACTGTTAGGAAGTGAAACTATTGCACGTGTAAATGATGTATAAATTATATTTATTGTTCTTTTTCCTTCCTGTTTCAAAATGAGTAATGGAATTATGTTGCTGTTCTGACTGTAGAATACAAAAAAGGAGAAAATGGAGATGACAACGCCTGTTTTTACACGCAAGGATGAGAATGATGGGGTTAAAATGGATATGACAACACCTGTGTTGACAACAAGGGTACCATTCTTTTCCATGGAATTTGTGCAATTGCCATCTTTATCTTTACTTTTATACGTCTTATACAATGCCAATGAGGCTATCAATAATTTGAGATCTTTTGTTTAATAAATATCACCATATCTCTTTGGAGATAAAAGTGAAAATAATAACAAGGAGCTTAACATCCAAAACTGACAAACCCCTGCAGACATAGCATAAAGTCTGTGAAACGCAACTGAACATGGACGAAAGTAATCCTAACTTATTCTGGTTGTGGTAGTGAAATGATTGGATCTAACTTATTCTCAAAATGGATTATTTTTACCTCCCAATGATCAGCTTGACAGAATTCAAGCTTAATTGAATGAGAGCTTTTTTAACAATTTAATTGTGGCTATATTGTATAAAAGGGGATCATGGTTTTTCTTGTGGTTAGTTCAGAACATGCATAGGATACTGCATTTCCTTCGATATTTTTTTTTTCCAATAATGATCTGATTCAGTAATGATATTATCTTAGGTGGAAGATCAAGGAAAGTGGAACATGTCTTTTGTCATGCCGTCAAAGTATGGTGGCAACTTACCGTTGCCTAAAGATTCCTCTGTGACGATAAAAGAGGTCCCCAGAAAAATAGTTGCGGTGGTTGCCTTTTCAGGTTAGCCCTTGCCTAAAAAGAAGTTAAATGCGGAATTTTTTTCTTCTTCATCTTTGGTTACAGTTATATTAGATAGTAAAGTTGTACCGCTTTAAATTTTCAGTATTATTGAAAGTACAAAGTCCACAATTTAGATTATGAGAGTTATGGGGATGCGTGCATGTTTAAATGCACCAAACTCCATTCTTTCATAGTAGCCCTGTGAAGTTAAAAACGAGCTAATCAGCCTCATGCCATTAGTTGTGCTGAGCACGAGGGAAAAAAAGGAAAAGAAATCATTTCTATTTAAATGTTTTTCAGTCCCATTTAAATATTTTACCTTTTTTATGTTCTGAATCAGGTTACGTGGATGATGAAGAAGTCAAGCGACGAGAATTGAAACTACGAGAAGCATTGAAAAGGGACAGAGAATTTAAAATTAAAGAAGGCACTTCAGTAGAAGTTGCACAGGTGAGAGCTACAGGGGCTACTTGGCATGCAGTTTTATTAATATGTTTCCCGATGTTTGGGATTTTGAATTTCCAGGATACTAAGGATAAAAAGTCTCAATTGACTGACCTCTTTGTCCAACTTCTTGTAATGCCATTTGTTCTGTTTTTATTACAGTATAATCCCCCATTCACCCTTCCTTTTCAACGTCGCAACGAGATTGCATTGGAGGTGGAACGGAAAGATGAATAGGAAAACTGATCTGTCCTCCAAATTTATGATCAGGATTCAGGAGGTACTCTTAAATTTTCAGCAGCCCTATCATAAATAGTAAAAAAGAACTGATCCAGTACCACATGAATCAGAGACTCCAATACCAGAAGATCTTGTGTACTTAATTGTTATGCATGTCATTTGTATAGTTAGATTACAATTTTACAGTCACTTGGTGGAGCGTTCTGACATTTTCATTTAATCTGAAATGCTGTAATAAAGTTTCTATATATTGAGCTTATTATAATAATTCTTTTACTATCTCAATTATTTTGGGGCCAGTGTTTTATTATCTCAATCTAAAACCTAGGTAGCATAAGAATAAAATGTTTTTTAATGTTCAATATCTTGACTGTGATTATTTGTTTCATTCATTTACACATATATTTAATTTTCAGTAATATGGTCACATGCTCTGTAGTTCAAATAATATATCAAAATTTAATACGCATAGTTTTGAGGCATTACATGATACTAAACGCGGGTAATTTTCTTGAGAGGGATAGCTCCTTCCACTGCACCATTTGTTTTCAGGCATGTTGACATTAACTTGAAAATGTCTCTCTAAAGGGTGGTGTTAAACACTATTGCTTCCCCCTCTCGTGCCAGCGAAGATCCAAAAATAAAGTAATTCGAGCATGGCCTGCACTTGTCACCAAATCACTGATAATAATTAACATCTGAAAATTCAAAAAATATACTTGTAATAAAGGTAAATAAGATAATTATTAGCCATAGTCCAGTCAATTATACAAAAAGGTAAAAAAAAAATTTCCAAAATTTGTGTATGATTACTATTGAGATAAATCAAGAGGCCCGGGGATGAGAATTTTCTGAAGAAAACCTAACAAGGGAGTTGTCAATTTTACTCCATAAGACTTGTATATTGGGTTCTTCTTTTCATTAAGAGGTGATTTCCAAGGATGATTTACACAGTTAAAAGAAAATGAGAAGGGGGAGAATATGGAGAGGTTCAATAGATTGTCGCTGTAGTTGAAAATTTCGCACATGAAAATTCAAACGTTTTTCGATTTTCATCTGACTTTATGAGAGAGTATATTGTTGAAAAATAAAATAAAAAAATATGAAGAAAGGAAAATGATGAAGATAATAAGACATAATAAAAAATTTATTACTATTTCGGTCTTTAATATAAGATTTATTTTATTAATTAAATTAAATTAATAAAGTTAAGTAAGATAGTTAATTATAAAAAATATGACATTTTTCCTAAAATACCATAATCATTTTTCTTAATATCCTCCCTCTATATCCTATTTGATTATGGTTGAAAGAGTATCAATATGTGCAATTTAAAAAAAACTGATAAATATGATAAATAAGTCTTATATTTAAGATTAAAATAAACTTAACAATTAGGTCATATAGTAAAAATCAAACGAGCATATAATATCAGTGTAGGGTAACAAGACATGGAGAGGCATAGAACAGTGACCTCGGATTTTACCGTTATATCCTGCGCGCGCACGTGATTTTGCGACAATCATTGGGGTAATCAACAAGAGAATTTTAAATTGAATACATAGGTATTTGTAGTCTCTCTCGATGCATGTGACAAACTTGTATGCATGTTTGAAGGATATATGTAATAAGTTTAATTATATATTGCTGGTCCAAAAAAAGTTTGATTATATATTTGAAATTTTTAATTCATTTAAAACTTAAAGAGGTTCGCTTATTTTCAAGGAACAAAAAACCGGACCGGAAACTCAACCAGTCCAGACAGTAGGTCAAGGGTTACTGGTCGGACCGTGGTCGGACCGGGGTCGGACCGGTCATAATAAAATAATAAAATTTAATTCATAACAATTAAGTGAAACAAAATTCATAAGTAATAAACTAATAATCACTGAAGGGAATATAAGAAAAATTAGTTTAAATGTTTAATTATACAAAATGAATATTAAGAATACATATCTTCATCAATATACTAATAAGTCAAACAACACTCCCCTTCCTTCCCAAGTCTCACGGCGATGGATCAAGTCAAAACTCAAAAGTAGTTTAAATGTTTATATTCTCCTCCATTCTCAAATCTCACGGCTATGGATCAAGACACTCCCCTCCCTTCTCATATCTCACGAGTCGTTCATTACTAATGACCCAAAAAATTGCTTTAACCAGTAGCTATCAGACAGAAGCAGCTAAAACAACTCAATGCTTGAACGAAGGTGAAAAGAAAAGGTATTGAGCTTACCTACAAGGCTACAACTCAATGTCTGCATCGAAGGTGAAGCAGGATGTCCGTGAACAACGAAGGTGAAGCAGGACGACAGCGAGGAGAGCATGGACTATGGAGACTCGTGACTTGCTACATGAGCTACAAAGGTGAACGGAGAAGGCGAAGGCAAACGACAAAGTCGAAGCAGAGCTGCGAAGGCAAAGGCGAACAGTGAAGTCGAAGCAGAGCTGCGAACGGCGAAGGCGAACGGCGAAGTCGAAGCAGAGCTGCGAAGGCAAAGGCGAACGGCGAATTCGAAGCAGAGCTGCGAACGGCGAACGGCGAAGTCGAAGCAGAGCTGCGAAGGCGAAGGCAAAGCAGAGCTGCGAATGGAGCCACGGAGGAGGGAGTGCCAATGTCAGTGATGAGGTGACGCTATGGATCCGATTTTGCTGGGTTCACGGCAAGAATTTGGGACTGGGAGCCAGTGGAAGAGACCTCGGCGATTCAGTCACAAATGGGGGAGGGCTGGAGGAGGACCGACCGACTGAGGGTTGAGTCGAGACTGGCAGGTTGGGAAGGGAGGAAGAGAGTTTTTTTTAAAAAAAAGGTAGTAAAACGACGTCATTTCTGTGGCTGGGCAACCAAAAAAAACAAACCGTGTGAACCGCCCAACCGGTTTTTTCCCGGTTTAACACCGGTTTTTACCGGTTGGACCGGTTCAACACCAATTCAAACCACCTCCTGTTTTTTATGCAAACCAGACCGGACTGGCGACCGGTTTTCCGGTTGAACCGGCCGGTCCGGTCCGGTCCGGTTTTTTTCATTGCTTATTTTAAATGCTGACAAAGGTAGTAAATTTTTCCAACCGACAGATATGTGATTTTATTGATCACGAAATGGAATATTACGGCTACTGTGTGTACAGAATGTAATAAATTTTTGGATATCTTCTGAATCAAACAAAGTTACAAATATAACCTTCCCTAAATATTTTAGAGGTGTCCAAATTGTTCAATTATAACCTTCCCTAGAGTGGGCTCATGGGTTTATACAGAATTTAGAATGGATTATAGTACCTCGGGTCCTTGATATAACATTCAAAGTGGATCTTACATAAATCAATGACTAGAAATAGTATTATTTATATATAAATTTTATAGGTATATTAATATATAAGGGGTTATTGCGTAGAGATAGGGATAGGAAACAGTGATGGTGAATTGGCAATTGGAAAACCATTGTAGCTTAAGATTAATGGCGAACATGATCATGGCCTCTCCATTAGTATTTTATCTTAATCATGAGAGGAGCGGCTTTAGCCATTTAATGTCGCTCTCGCTCATGATCCATCGGTACTTTTTGCTTAATACTACCTCCGGTCCTAATTATAAGAGCCAGTTAACTAATTTGAGGAAATTAAGAAAGTAAATGGAGTTAGTTATTTGTCTTAAATAGGTGTTGTCTTTCCTAAAATATTCTTGTTAATTAAGTGTATTGATTAGAACTATCATTATTAGAAGAGATACTTTAGCAAAAAATGTATAAATATGAGAGACAAAGTGGATTGAAGTCTTATATTTAGGACCAAAATAAAAGTCAAACAGGGTCTTATATTAAGGACCGGAGGTAGTATAATGTTAGCCGTCCCGCGCTAATTGTCAGTGCCCGCCGTTGTTTATCATTTGAATGCAAAAACGATAACACAGATAGATATTTAGAACATGTGGTTTCATGGTAAATATATATTTATATTATATATACATGTGAATTTAATTGATTTCGCTGGTGGCCGTCATCTAACCATGTTTTCCAGGTCAAAAAAAATCATCTATGTTTTATGACACATATACGAAAAGCCTAGTCTGTGTTAACGACAAGTTCATGTGATCAGGAACCAGCACCGATAATATGAACTTCCAATTGGTGGCTTGTCACCGAGGATGTTATATAAAACAGTGTTATGTTACAAGTAGGGAGGAGAAAAAGGCACTAAAAACTCAGAAAGTGTGTGTGTGTGTGTGTGTGTGTGTTGCTAGTTTACTTCTGGTATGCTTTCTAATGCTGGCTTCCACCCTTGGCAGCCATAGTCATCAGTTTTATTATCTTCACCATCTTCTTGTCCTTTTTCACCATGAACTAGAGGTAATATGTTGTTAATTGAAATTCCTCCCTTGCACAGCATATTCTGCAGTTCCTTCTTACTGATAACCAGCTTAATCCTCACCACGCTGCTTTCTTCTTCGCTTTCTACTTCTGGATTCGCAAACCTCACCTTCTTCTTGCTAGCTTTTGGCGACGGCGATGATGCCGGCGGAACAAGGTAGTACAACTGACCTCGGAGCAGCTTGGTGTCGGGGTGGAGATGCCGGACGACGGGTAGCGACTCAGATATTGCATGGCCGAAAAACTGTGTCAAAACTTGGTGGACCTTAATGGGTTCCTTGTATTCAAGAACTTTCCCATCGGCTTTCACGACCCTGACGATGTTCTCTTGAAGGACTAGGCAATTCCCCATAGTTATTCAATTTCTGCAGTGAGAAGTGCTTAGTAGGAGAAATTAAAGAAAATGCTAGTTAGTTTTCTGGTTGGGGAATGAGAGGAGCGACGCGCCAAGGTGTATTTAAGAAAAGCTGCTTCAGAAAATACCCTTGCGAAGGTTCGAATATTACAAAAATGCCATTTGGAACCCCAAGTCGAGCATTTCAATGATGATAATGATGCTGGAATCACAATCGGAGTTGACTCGGACGACCGGTGAGTTAAAACGTGGGTACAATTAAGAGGAGGGTGCTGGGAGTAGTGTTTTGTGGAAGTGGATTACGACCAGAAGCATGTTAAGGGCCCAGCGTCGCCGGCGAAGCCCAAGGGGTTGACCGCTCTCTCCAAAGTGCTCCCTTAGTTATTCCAATCACCCATATTCCACATATTCACTATTTCTTTACGTTTCTCAGTTTACTTTTCGTATGGTCAAGCCATAACTGGGGGACTAAGCCTGAGCATAAAACCTTACTCCTAACATTTGAAATCTTTTAGGAAAAAATTATTGTTCAGCTCACATACGCAATTTAATCATTACGTTGTGGATCCGTTGTAATTCCTTCCACCAAAATTTGTCATTTTCACGCTGCTCACTTGTTACAGAACTTTTAGTAATCAAATTATTTATGTGAAATTATGCAGTAATTCTATCAAATTTTTACCGCCCGGGGGGGGGACACAGTTTACTTTTGGCGATTACATAACTTTAGGTCCTTGACATTATTATTATTTTTTAAAAAAATAATTAATTTAATTTCCCTTAATGGCTGAATTCTGAACAAAATTACTTATCCATTTAGACGTGAATGAGAGGGGCGAGTCACGATTATCATTGCTTCTTGAACACGTTGATTGAAGTGGCTACAAAGAAACGCGTTGTTCAAGGTCGGTTGGTAATTGGATAGTTGAAATAGTGTTTTTTAGTCTCATGGATTATATTATAATCATCATTAATGTGGGCGACAATAGAAAGAGACAACGAACCTAGATGTGCTCATGATTTTGGCCATGGAATTACAATACATTAACAGTAGTTTTCCGTATGCTGCTTATGAGCAGTTGGATCCAGCGATTGTTTAAAAGGAAACACCTCTAACTCTAACTAGCAAGTTTAATTTTAATGGTCTTTTCAGGGATTGATATTACATTACCCAAGAGGGAGAATAATAAACTCATCGATCCATTAATTCCCATTTTGTTTTGTTCAGTTCTGTATTTGCTGAAAATGGGTTAAACCAGATGAGAAAATTCAACAACAAAAGGCACAATTGAATATATGAAAAAGATCCCTTATTAAAAGCTAGTCCAGTTGCAGAGGTATTCAAGATCGCCCTTCTCTTCTACTCTTTCTTTTTGCTTTGGTTATAATGGCTTCTCGTGCATGCGTGAAGAGTAGATTTCATTCAAGACTTAGATTAAATTCTTTCTTGCGACGTAAATGAATAAAAAGTAACCAGTTGAATCGTAACTTTTTTCCCTTTCGGTCTTCGTCACTCGACCAGAGACGACCAAGCCATTCTCCGTCAGGATCACATCTAAGTGATATAGTTCGGCCTTGTGTCATAATAAGGAAGTGGTGGTCCACCTCAGAATTTTTTTGGGAGAAGAAATCTCTCTCTCTCTATATATATATAATATATATATATATATATATATATATATATTGTTAGGCTTTCAAAATCCAACTTTGGTACAAAAAGCAGCATCAGTAGTATGTAGTTTGGGGCAGACATGCAAGATCAGTTCAAATAGTATTTATGAATCGTATCAAATATTCTTTTAGCTGTAATTAAGTTTGTGTTATGTGAACAGTAAATACCCGTAGTTCGACTAAATTTGTGTGATGTGACAAATAAATTTAGGAACTTTCTTAATGATTAATTCGAAAATTTAATGTTTTAGTGTAATTTTTCCTAAGAAATTTGTAAGTCCTGAGACGTAGAAGGCACTCAAGAGATAAAGATGCACCAAATACATACGTCACAGTGATAGATCAGTAACATAATTTGCAGAAAATAAGAGCTTAGTGGTGATGGGTTGGGGGGGGGTTGTTTTCAACACGCATGCTCTTTCGACTAATCAAGCCTTTTGCTATCAGTTTATTGCCAGTAGTGGTGGTAGGAATTGTTGGATTATGGTCATCACTTCAAATTTTCAACTTGCAAAATGCTCTTTTAACATTAAACATACTGATAATAATATGAGTGATGCGACTTTCCTCGTAACTTCTTCAGTGGAGCAATTAGATATATATATTATTCTGCGTGATAATTAGATAATTAAAGTATGATAAGAAAAAGTTATTACTATTTGATATGCTGAGCAGAAAGATGGATTAACTATGTTAGTGGTTAAATAGAATTTTGTATTTAGCAAATCAACGTCGTTTTACGTTGATGTTCTTCTTAATATTATTTGCACGTAATAAGTTATTAGTAATTGAAAAGATTATCAGCTTTACCGAAATGCTGTACAAGTAAGTGAAAGTGCCCTTGACGGAAAGGAATTAGCTAGCCCTGGATATTTATATATATGTTGCTAGCTACTTTGTAATGGAAATATCATCAAAGATCATATCTTGGGAGAGTTTCGTGTAGATGGCAAACAATCACAGGACAGTTGTATCAACTGGCTTATCCACTTTTAAACAAGCATTAAGGCCATTAAAGAGGTATAGTACATATATAATCCTACCCATTTCAGACAAATATCCAACATGACAAACAAAGAAATATTACGTGCCCAAAAGAAAAAGAAACGTGTGATAGATATTTCCTCAGAGGCTGCCTGAGCTTAAAACCTGGGTTATAAATATATTTTTTTTTGTTTTTTCATATATAAACTACTCTATAAAGATTACCCTATAATTAATTATAAGATGGTATAAGTACTGATGAATATTGTGCACGTCTCGATACATAATGGGATAGAGATTAGTGAACCCACTTCCTCCTCACAATAATTTAGTGGCCATTAGATATTGACCATTTGGATTGACAATTAGCGGTAAATCTCGAGTTGTTTATTGTTAATGCTAATATTAATCATGATAGGTGCGTATTAAGGTCGCAAGCAATAGAAAGCGGGTAGACAATGAAAGAAGAATCAAAACAAATTTATGCCCTCCAATTTCCCAGTACCCGCTCCTGGCTGTGGCATCATCTTTTTTATCATTTACATTTATGGCATGTCAAAATATTAAGAATTCTACCACACATGCTGTCAAACTATTTTCAAGGAACCAAAAATAAGAAAATAAAAATAATTACACATTATCTCTTTTGCCATGATTGCTCATTATGTATCTCTTTTTTTTTTTTTTGGCCAAGTAGGTGGGTTTAATATTATATCTTAATTCAAAATATTATGATAACATTGTACTGCCTCCAATCCTAATTATAAGACCTTATTTGTAGTCTACAAATGAGATCTTATAATTAGAACCAGAAGTAGCAGTTGTTTTCATATATTCGTGGACAAAATTTTTTCTCCTTAATTTTGGCTTGTTGCCATTGTTTCAAATAGCCAGTTTCTAAAAGAAGAAATTCCGTTTTCACTCAACAACTCCAACTAAATACTACTCATAGTTCTTAATATAAAATTTAGTTAACTAATTTGAATAGGTTAACGAGTTTAGTTAAATTAGTTATTTATAATAAATAGATATTATTTTTATTAAAATACATATATTAGCTAAAACTGTCATTTGATAAAATTTTTAACATGTATAATTATTACAATGACTATCTTAAAAAAATATATAAGCATAAGACATAAAATATATTAAAATTTTATATTTAAAATCAAATTAAATAATAAACTGATTTTTATATTAAAAATCAGAATTAGTATTTTGATATCTACTTGAGAGGTCAGCAAGTCGGACGCTATTCCTTTCTCACCGAAAAGTCATCAAAGCTTCACTTTTTTTAGGACCTCAAGCATATACGCACGCGCACTATAAGCCAAACACTTTATTTTTCTCAACCTCTCTAGATTTCCTCCTCCCGACTTTCCTCTCAAGTTTACTAAAATTGACAAAAGATTATACCAATATATATATATATGTATATATTTGACAGAGACAAGCCATGAAGCCACTCTCATATAAATTCTACACGAGTACATTTCACTTTATGAAAAGAATATTTTCATATTCTCTCGCTGCAGACCTAACAATTATATTAATCATGTTATTAATGAGTTATATTCGTCCAAAAAAAAGAGTTATAACTTTCGCCGAATTGTAGTGATATTGGCAATCCTGAAGATGTGCTCAAATTCAAAGGATTCATTGGATCAAACTGCAAAGTATGATAAGAAAGAAAAGCGTGAAAGTTAAAGTTGAGGTGGCATGGAAGGAAAGGAGCACGCAGAGAGAAACAGACACTTGCCTCTCAGTGGTTGGACGGCACCGCTCCTTGGAAATTGGAAACTGGAATTGCCCCCCTGATTGGTCCGTGTTACCATGGGTATGCACTTAGCCGCTCAGTGGAGCAACAAGTGATGGTGATGCCCACAACACGAAAATCATTTGTGCTTGGGATCAATGAAATATTTATTATTCATTTTAAAGATGTGTTCTTGACTCTTCCGTTTTTAATTTCAACAATTATCTTCGCTTAATAGGGACAATTTAAAAAGTTTCGAATTTAATTTTATATTTGACCAATTTTTACCAGTTTTCTTAATATAAAAAAGCAGTTGACCGAGTATTATTAAGAAAAACGAAATGAAGTAGTATGTTCATACGGAAACACCTATAAATCTTGTAGGGTATAGGAGGCCGTTAAAGATTCAATTCATAAAGTTTGAGCTCAAAGTGCTCCTACTTGATTTAGGATATGATTATCTTTTGACTACAAAGATTTATTATTTAATTTAATACTGCATCATGATTTCATATATAGATAGATTACAAAACGTGAGATATTGTGTCTCCCATACCATAATTCAATAGTGCAGTTGGTCTTAACTTCATCGTTAAAAAAAGAACTACTTCCATTGAAAAAGGAAGAAGAACCTGCTTAATGAATATTTAATCCCTTGCCTCTTAACCCAATTATCGCGAGCTAGTTTAACAAGGACAGTTTGATTGTCATTTGATATAAAATAATACATGTCAAAATTGAGTATGGACTGACCCATAATACCCCGGCATCCAACTTCTGGCCCAGCCCAACTTCTAGCCCGAACCGACGTTTTCTTTGTGTCGGTGTTGCTTGATTTTCCCTCTTTAACACCCAAAAAATGATTTTCACGTTTTCTTCTTACATTACTGTAGAAAAACTAGCCAACCTCTTGGTGACTTTATGATATCATATGGAGTGGTGGGGACTGGGGAGGCAAAAGCTCTTAGGTGACGTTAATCGGTACTTTCAGTTGGCTCCAAAATAGATATTTTAGTTTATTGATTGTGATTCTGGCAACTGGAAGCTCCGGCCCCAGTCTTGTACCTTGCGGTCCTTGCGTATCGACTCTCACCGTGAACTCAGACAGCATACTCTGTCATTGGTACACAGCTCCAGCAACTCCAATCTGTTGGCAGAAACCCTTGGCGTCCCGGTCCCGGAGTCATGGCCGGAGCTCTAACTCTCTCGCAATTCTCGGTTTTTGGGTCTCTTTCATTGCCTAAAAGAGTAACCCGTAGCACGGTATCCATTAGAGCGACTTCGGAAACCACTCCGTCCACTTCCGCTTCTGTGAGCACGACAGAAGACCCGAAACCGGATTCTCCGGCCTCATCGTCCACGTTTGCCCCTCCACCCAATTTCAAGCCTCCTGAGCCTCAGCGCTTTGGCGTGAGACCTGACAAGACTAATGACGTGTTTGGAGCTGCGCTTCCCTTGTTCCTTCGCTTTGGTACTGGAGTTTTCGCTTCTGGGTAAGCAAATATGTTCTGCCATATGTTCTGTTCCCAGTTTCATCCCCACTGAACCTTCAATTAGCGCTTATGGCACTGGAAATTCGAGGTCAATTTCGAATATTAGCAAACCCGAGGATGAGAAGGTTCAAATGCTAGCTATAGCTGGCATAGTAATAGGTTTTCTGACCTTTTTCTGCTTTGGCTCAACAAATTTTGTAACTCTTTAGGGCCTATTAAGAAGCATTGGTCGTTATTGCTTGGCTTAGAATGATGATTTTAGATGTTATTTTCAGAATCACTTTTTCTCCAAGTAGGAGTCAACATATAAAATATCTGATAGAAGATAAAAATCTTGAAAGGGGGTCATTTCTCAAAAGCACTGCATCTTACACAAGTTGTCTGGAATGTAGATTTATACAGCGGCTGAATTCTGAATTTCTTGAGCTTGTGCTGTGTCGTGACAGGTATTCTTTTTCCTTCATTCCTAAGGATGAATTTCCACCTGATCAGTATGCTTTGGAAGTTTCTGGTATACCCCGCGTTCTTTGAAGTTTAATATTTTTTAGTGGCTTATGATAGCATATTGTCATTAAATACGTTGTATGCTTGCTGATGTTAATCAGAAAGATGAAGAAAATGTACTACAACAGGGTCTTATAATTAGGACCAGGGTTAGTAACAGGTTTGCATGTCAAGCTGACGATTGTGAAGAACTAGAAATGAGCCTCTACGTTTCCAAGTTTGTGTCTTGGCTTAAATAACCACTTATGCATTTTGGAATAATTTCCGAAAATGCAAATTTTACAGTTCAAAGTGTTTTCACCACTGTGTTTTGATTTTTTTTTTTTTCCCTCTTTTGAATCTTAACCCGAGGCGTATGATTTCAGGGTACAAGGTAAAAGAAACAGCGAAGTTAGGCCCTCGCCCAGAGAAGCCTATAGAGATATATGAATTTGAGAGGTATTTCATTTTTCCTGTCAAATATTCTAAATTACAAGCACATGTTAGAATGCGTGGGACTATCTAACTCCTTTTTCTTCCTCTTTATTCCAAAGAAAATGTCAGTCACTTCCTTTCTGTTTGGCTTATGTTTATCTTCACATACCTCTTCAAGGAATAAACTAACAATCATTATATTGTCTTTCCTTCTAATTTATGGGCTATCATGGATCATGTGCAGCTGTCCATTTTGCCGGAAGGTATGGATTTTAGTCTTGGAGGATTCACGCTAGGTCTTTTCCTTCGTTACTTATTTTTTTGGGTGGTGGAGTTGGGAATCATTAAGATCTATGGAAAAATTGAATCTTCAGATTTGGTTGGAATACTTCTGTCATCGTATACAGGACTTTTTTTTTTTTTTTGGTGTTGGCTGGACTAACATTTTGATCATGCACAGGTCAGAGAATTTGTCGCTATTTTGGACATTGATGTTCTTTTCTATCCATGTCCTAGAAATGGACCCAATTTTCGCCCGAAGGTTGCTCAGATGGGTGGAAAACAGCAATTCCCCTACATGGTTAGATTGATTCCTCTAAGCCAAAAGCAAACCAAAAAAGGAAATCTGAAACTTCTTATTGTGTTTTTTTTTTAAAACATTTTCTAACTAAAAGAAAATAAACTTATTAACCTACTCTGCTGAAGTGTATGTAAAAATTAGGTCTCTGTTTTTCACATGCGACTCTAGCATCTTACATTTTCTATTTTTCTTGCAAATATACTCAGAATGTTAGCATTTGAAATTATAAAGATAGATTTATAACAGAATGAGGTTCTGTATCAGGTGGATCTTCGAAGTTGCTACTGCTACATTGGGAAAATTTCTTAATGTCTTAATTACTATTTATATTCTGCTCACATGCATCTGGTTATGACTTAAAAAAAATAAATAAATAAACGATACTGAACCATCTAATGTTGCAGTAATTGTTTTCTTCTTGTTTCCAGAAAACAAAAAGCTTCTTCTTGTTTATGGTCTCCAGGAGCTTTTTATGTAGCAATTTTAGTAGTTATGTATGCACTTGACATGTCAGCCCTGTGATAATTCTCTGCGTGTTTTTGAGAGATAATTTCTGTTTTTGTGTATCTTTGTTTCAGGTGGATCCAAACACAGGCGTTTCAATGTATGAATCAGATGAGATAATCAAATACTTGGCTGAGAAATACGGTTTGTGTCGTCCTATTTACTCTTGTCTCTATCATATGCTGATGTAGTTTTTTCCCCACCAATCACAATAAGAAGAGATTAGTGCCGTTGGTTTTATATCAAAGATAATTCAAAACTGTGAATTCGATCACCTAAGCATAAATATTGCCAAGTCTGACGATTTTCTCTTTTCCTTACCTCTGAACCACCTTGCTATATGGCAGCCTGTTAAATATTCTTTTTCTGCTATGCAGGAGATGGAAGTATTCCACTCACTTTATCTCTTGGATTATTTACGGTTAGAATCAGGCTCTATTATCACTCATAATTTAAATCAGATGGGCCATGTTAGTAATAAACACTATCTGCTTGATGCAGACACTTACTGCTGGCTTAGGTATGCTTGGTCGCAGGGGAAAGGTATATGGTTTTCTACTCGCCATTCATTTTTTAGTGCGAAATTAACTGACAGTTTCTTTTCTTTGCCTTTTTTTGAAAAAAGAAAGAAAAAGAAAATAAAGCGGCACCTTTCTATAATTTCGCGGGGAATTACTTGCAAATTTCAACTGGCTGGCTGGCTGGCAGATTGTTGGATGCTTTTTAGAAAGTTTATTAGTTTCATGAATTTTATTTTTTAAAGATATTATTGATTATTGATATTTCACTTTCATCGGTACAAAAATCACTTTTAACTACTTGATTTTTATTTTCAGGGTAGCTCTTATACTCCTGCAATATTACCTCCAGAGCCACTAAAACTATGGGCATACGAGGTTGGTAGACCATAAAACTAAATTCATACGGATCAAGGCATCGTAGTGCTCAACTCAATATAAACTTCACAAAACTGAATTTTTGATTGACGTGAATGGAAATGCAGCTTCATCTGATTTGTCCTTTATGGTTTGTGATCATAGGATTGAAATTTGAAATGCTTTGTTTCTTTCAGGGTTCACCTTTCTGCAAACTTGTGCGTGAAGTACTTGTAGAGTTGGAGCTGCCCCACATACAAATCACGTAATTTCCCTGTTCCAAAACTAACTGTTAGATCTGATGCCCGGAAAGAAAATTTATTATGGTTGTTTTATAATATTAACTCATTTCGTATATTTTACGCGACCACCATCTTAAATATATTTGACCACTATATTGCTGATGGATCATATATTGATTTCCTGAATTAAAAATCATGGTCATGGTTATATCATACATGCACTTCTCTGCAATGAGATAGAAAAGACGCAAATCTTCATTCGTGATTGGCAATATTAATGGAGTCTTACGTGGTGGTCTGCATACAGTCTCGGTTTTCCATGCAATTAATTTTTTTCATTTCATTTCAGTTGTTCTCGAGGTAGCCCAAAACGACAGATACTATTAGAAAAGACTGGGCATTTCCAGGTACTTATTTATTCTGTTAATAAGTTTCTCATGTTCATAAGCACGCTCACAATATAGATTTGCTGACCTGGAGACATGATTTTTTTATCACATTTGGTTAATGTATGACATGACTTTTTGATCCTTATGGTTGGCTGCAGGTGCCCTATTTGGATGATCCGAACACTGGGATAGGAATGTATGAGAGTGCAGAGATTATAGAGTATCTAAGAGCAACTTATGCTCTTCAGTAAATCATGTTTGCAGAGGCTCATGAACGTGAAGTCATGTAGCTCGATCAAGACAAATTGTCAAAATTGGAGGCTTTCACTTTGTTGACTGACAGCGGGATTACTCTAGGGCTTGTTTGGTTTGTTGAAGGAATGGGAAAAGCCGAAGGGAGAAGGAAAAATCTGTATTATTTATTTTTTGTTATTATTCAATAGGTTTTATCTGTTCTTAATACCTTTTGGAGATAATAGAACGAACGAACGGCATTTAGTTTAAGTTTGATAGTTTGATAGTTTGATACTACTTTTGAAACAACGTTTTGAATTGCATATGGAAAGAAAAGACAGTTAGTTATGGGGAGGATGATTATATATTTTGATACCTCTTGAAGAGGTGCATAAGTTGTAAAAGGGGAATAGTTTTGTGTTTGCAGTGTAGATTTTTTGTGTCTTTACTTCTTTACATAATCCAAACATAGATGCCTAAATGATGATTGTTTTTTAAATGTTCTCTGCGAGCAAGAGCTATGCCCCTTGAAAATTATATGTGGCCTGCTGGATTAAGCTTTATGATTCAATCTGATATGGGTTTGCTGGCTTACCTTAATTTACGTTTAATGCATGGCTACAAGGGTCAATCAGATGTGTGTGCGAGACCACGTTCTAATGACATTTCCGACCTGGTCTGGTCCGTGTTCCGCCTTAGCATCATGTTAACAAATTAATGGACCTATACAACTTCACTCAAGAAGCAAATTTAATAAGGATAACTAAATAAGTAAAGCCTCGTACTAAAATTAAATCAAGATTCCATTAAGAAGCTACTGGGTGCTGCGTCAATAATCTGGTCTCCTGTCTTTAAGTAGGAAGGCATCGCTTTTAAACTTTAAAGCTCGAACACTTGATTTTCTTCTTTCCTTGTCTCTCTTTTTCTGCGTTCTCCAATCCGCTTCTTCATATGCAATAATGAAAAACAAAAGAACCCAAATTATTCTGCTTTGTGATCCTTACAATGTTGGAAGTGGGGACTGAAGAATATTGTCTTTTGGGGTTGAATGGAGAAGATGAAGTTGACCTCCATTTCCATCATCTCCCAAATTCCGTGGACATCTTGAATTGTAGAGAGCAGGATATGCTTCAGGAACACTTTACAGCTGAATTACCAAGATGAGATTTGGATGGTTCAGATTTTTTCCCCTTCAATTTTTTCTAACTAAATTGCAGAGAACAAGACTTGCTTTTGCTTTTCAGTTATGGGAGGGGACCATTTGGCAATCTCCATTTGCCACATTGCATATTATGTCCTGCATGGTTTGCTTAAGACTGACCCGTTCCGTTTATGGCAACCGATGTTTGATGAGTTATGTTCAGTAACTAAATAATAATATTGTCTTAAACCCCACAGTTTTTAATCAGTTGGCAACAAAATACTTGAACTTCTCAAGCCCGGTCATCAAAATTAATCAACTCGACTGTCGTAATGCCATTTCAAAACTCAACAAGTTCTGTGAGAGAATGTGTCAGGGAGGATTCCTGTTCATGACACGATATTTGAGAAGCACTACATGACAATCTAAGTTGTTGTTAATAATAATAATAATAATAATGCAGCTTGAACATGTTACATATGATATTTGTTTAGCATGATTAGATATCTCCCTCTCCAATTTAAAAAAACTGTGCAAAACTCTTTGTCGCTCTGCATTTACGTGTACTATATACATATCTTTTTGGGTAATAGAAAGGGAAGAGATAATAGTCACTGTTTTTTGAACGGAATGAAAGTTCAAAATCTAGTTTTTTCCCCATATATAGTCATACATCCACATATTTTTAAGAAAAAATTATAGTGAGGTCCGGAGAAAGAAAAATAATTATTAAAAAGTTTCAATAATAACCTAAACAACCTATAATGACAAGTTTCAGAATAGAAAATGATAACTTTTGAGATTTATTTGGTAATTATTTTTTTTAAAACCTTACTGTAACTCTCTCCATTATTAAATGATCATGATGCAAAAGAGTGATACAATTTTTCTCTCTCTTTTTAAAATATATTTGGAGGGCTTGAGCTCTGTTTTATAGGCATTAAAAATAGAGATTGATACGCTTCCATCCATATGAGATGGGAAGCAAATCATGTGGACAGAGCAGAGCAAGGAGGCATTTGATTGGGAGGAAGAAATTGTATGTGGGACTCCTTGTACAGGCGATAGTTCCTATTATTGAGCCTAAATCTTGCTCACTTTCAAATCCTTTGGTGGCTTCTATTTTTCTTCACTAAGATTAATTTTTGAAAGTCATATTAGGCTTTGGCTATGCATAACAACCAAAACCAACATAAAATTTACCGGGGTTTTAATCCTAGGTGCTTTTACCTGTTTTTTATTTAAATTAAAAGGACAGATACTAATAATTTAGGATTACAAGTAGAATCCAACATGTCTTACTTATGAAAAAATATTTATGCCATAGAATTATATGTTCACTAATTTGTTTTTAGCTCTGAGATAAATGGATACTATTTTTCACATATTATTATTATTTATTTGAAAGAATAATTGCCTTTCGGCACAAACTTTAAAGTGCTGTTTGGTCAATCCCTCGTAGCCTCTTAAAGTGACATCTGATCACGAGCATATGCCAATCTCTCTCACCCAAAGTGGCAGACGCACAAGGAATGTGAATCACGAAACATGGATCGTGCGGTAGGCTGTATAAAACGAAAATAAGTTTGTTTCCACGTACTAAATGTTCGGTGCATTTTATTACTGTACATCTGTTTGTAATAGAATAATTTTTTAAGGGATAAGTTTGCTGTCTGATTACTTTAATTTTAATAAATTTTGTAGTGAAAAATTTTCAAAGTCATGAATATGACTTCTCAAGATTACAGCCCCTCAAGAAACTATGTATCTGCGAAAATGTAATTCTATAAATATATACCGTTTAGCTGCTCCGATCACACCATCGAACAGTTGTGACTAGCAGTGCCTGCAACAAGAAGTACGTACAGGAGAAAATGCTAGTGTCTTCGTCTATAAGCTAATCAAAAGAATAAACACGACATAGCCATCCCCATCCATTCGAACCTATCAACAATGGCCATGAGGATTTTCTTCTTAATCCTTTCCTTTGCATTGCTCGCTCTTTGTACTTCCGCAGGTAAAGATCGAACGATTTCTCCCCATAGAGTTCCACTTATGTTGGTTCTGTGATATGGCTGGTCTGTTTTTCCAGCATAAACAGTGTTTTGTTTGCTTCTGTCTAGAGTTGCTTTGATGAGTTCACCCCTACAGCTTCTGCTAGGAATTTGTTCTTCCTAGCGATCAGTTTTACAAATGATTTGGATGTTATAGTTTCTGTGTCCAGCATCCTGTGGATTTTATGAATTAGAACAGAGGTCTGGTTTTTTTTTTCATGGTTTAAAATTTTAAATGATGCAGAGTTCATCAAATTCTTTGTGTTGGTATGAGTTCATTATGTGTTGTTTGATGATTGAACATCTTTGTGGAGCACCAGACCCGGTTAATTTTGGCTATTATGGTGCAAATGGTCCTCAGAAATGGGGCAGCTTAAGTCCAAGTTTCTCAGCTTGCTCAAAAGGGAAAGCTCAGTCCCCTGTGGACCTTAGGAAGGAGAATATCGTGTACAGTAAGCAATTGAAGCCCTTGGAACGACACTATCATTGTTCAAACGCCTCACTAGTTAACAACGGATTCAACATTGGGGTCTGTTACTTAACTAACGTTTCGCTTTTATTCCTGATTCAACCACCATGCCCGAATCATTGTCAAGCACTAATAAAGTAATTATACTACTATTATGCATGTGTAGGTTCATTTTGAAGGGAAAGTGGGTAATTTGAGAATAGATGGTCAAGATTTTTACCTGAAACAGATGCATTGGCATTCTCCTTCAGAGCACCGAGTTAGTGGGAAGCAGTAAGTTCCTTCTCTTCTTTCCTCTTTCAAGGCTAATTCCCGCTTCATGATTCAGAAAGCAATTAGAAATTAGAACGGGGAAAATGAAGATGATGGATTAATGTTGTGAGTTCAGAATGGAGGCGGAACTGCATCTAGTACACCAGAACGAAGAAGGAAGCTTTGCAGTTGTGGGAGTGCTGTATAAATTGGGTGATTCAGATCCTATCATCTCCAAGGTAAGCTGGCTTACATCAACCACAGAATTTGAATCACTATGATTTCAATTTGAGGTTGCAGTCTGGGCGCAGATGGAGAAGAAGTTAGTTGAGTTGGCGAATGAGAGCTCAGCAGGCTACGAGGGTGTCCATATTGATCTTGGAACCTTTAATGCAAGGCATGTGAAGTTAAGGGCTCGAAGCTATTACAGATATATGGGTTCTCTGACCACTCCTCCATGCAAAGAGATCGTGACGTGGACCATTCTGGGCAAGATGAGGTCAATCTCCATTCAACAGGTCCATCTTCTCAAGGCACCTCTGAGTCCTCAGTTCAAGAACAATGCACGGCCTGTCCAGCCCCTCGATGGCCGCAAAATTCTCAAGTACACAGTTCAAGCTTAACATGGCTCCCTATTGCTTCCCCTGTTAAGTAGTAGACTGTCTTAGCTTTAATCCTTTTATTATGAACTTTGAATGCTCTCACAATTACTCGGCTCGAGGTACTCCAGCTACTAATCTTGAACTTTCACTTCCTGGCTATGATATCGTATAGATTATGTTATGATAATAATTATCACTTCAAAATACATCTCTCTGATTTTCAAAAATGGGTTGATATTATAAGCAACCAAACAACATAATTTTGGAGAATGGGTTGGTTTTCTGAACCAAATATGTTAAACATGCAATTTTCATAATACGGGCAAGTTCTGGCTGCGGCCTAGCTCGTAATATTCATACATAGGATAGGGATTCCGTCTCCCTATCCTCGCCTTCTTATTTCCAACTGTGTTTTTCCGTTACATTTTTCGTTTTATTTCTTTTTTCATACTAAAGAAAAATCTAGAGTTGGGTAGGGTATTGATCGTCTTTGACACAGATTCGGATTATAAAAACTTCATATCTGGGATAAGAAAAGATATCATATCCCTATTTGCAATCGGGATTTTAAACCTTTTATGGAAGCTGTCGAATGAGTTATATCACGATAAATCATGCCTCAAACAACCATGTCTGTCTCGATGTTACATTGTTACCTAACTACTGTAGGCCTTTTGAAATTTTATATTCATGTAAACTTCATATAAATCTATTCATATATTCTGGGTTCCATCGAATCGAAAGAGATTGACACCAGGCACCCCTTAATTGTGACATGAAAATTGAGTAGGAGGAGAAAGGAGAATGCAGGGACCCCCAACCATTCCCAACCCAATCAACACCATTTCAAGACGCAATCTATGATAGAAATCACACATATATAGTATTTTTAATCATTCTAAGATCTCATGGAAGATTAGTTCAAGAAAAGCATGATGAGTTTGGTAAGGCAAAAATACTGTATATATTTACCTTATCATTCAGGTTTTGGCTATAACACTTCTCATGATCATCAATGTTTCTGAGTTCTTTTATCTTATCCAAACAAAAGGAGGGAGAAAATTTACACGCTCGGATGCACTAATATGAATTTTACAACTGCTCACTTATTAAAAAACACACACGTATGATCTTGGCGGAAAGGGAAAGCACTCAGTAATCTATTTACAAATTGTTAGGACGCTTTAAAGAGCAGAGAAAGAAAAAGGAAAAGGTTAAAACAGCAAGCGGCAGTATTAACCACGAATCAATCACAGTAAAAGCAGAAGTATATGGGCACTGTTGAGACCGTTCTCGACACGCCACGTCATCTGTCACCAGCACAAGCAGCGGCGATTCCCGAAATGCCGGTTAGAATTCAAATATGCAAGCTCACGAGGAGCGCCGTCGCCGAACCGCTCCGCTGACGCCTATTGCGGCACGTGGATCTCAGGATCACCTACTCCCCACGCGCCGGCCCGCCTTCCAGATGCGAACCGCTTCATCCCACCTAAACCGGGGGGTTCACTCTCCGTTACGCTATTTCTCGGGGTCGACTCAGCGAAAGATGCGTCGATATCGCTAGCTGTGCTATGCCGCCCCGGCGTGGCCCGGCTCTTTCTTGGGGGAGAATCTCCTGGCGGAAGATCGGCTTTCTGGACCTCGTTTCCTCGGCGGCGGGACCTGAAAATAGCTCGAAAACTTTCAAAGAACCCTGGCTTCCGGTTTCTGCTTTTGCTGCGCATTAATTTTTCTTTAGCAGGTCCAGAGTCAGAGGTCCTTTGGCGACTTCTCAACCTGCGATTTCGATCCCTCCTCGATCTCACTCTCCCCATACACGAAACCTTCGGCGACGATGGTTCGTTCAGCGAGGATTCCGATTTTCCCACCGACGCACTCCGTTTGGGGAACAGTCTCGTGTTCCCCGGCTTGTGGTTTCGACGACTCTTGACGTCCCCAAATGAAGGTTTCTGAGGCTTTGGCAGGCCAATAATGGAGGCCTTGGACTTCAAACAAACGCGCTGAGACTTGGATTTCAAGCTGGGGTTCAAATTGGCGGAATTGGAGGTGCTACCCTTAGTGGATTCCTTTCGCTCGTAGACAGCATTACGGTCCCACCAGTCCAATTCTTCGTCCCTAGAGAGCCAGAAGGACTCAGGCGGGGAATCAGGGTTGACCTTCGGCCGATCCGCTTCTTCCGTCTGGTGGCTATCACCGTCGGCGAGAGTCTCGCAAGCAATTTTGCGATCGCCGGCACACGTAGAGACCAATGTTTCGACCTGTGGCATCGTAGTGGGGAAGCGCAGAAGCAGAAGGCTTAGGAGTCCTGCAAGGAAGAAAATATGAAAGAGGAGAAATAAAGACCAAGGAGGGATTTTGCAGGAGTAGGTAGTAATGGAAGAACTTGGAAAGCGGGCGGATGAGAGAAAAAGAGATATTTAATGATTTATTATATGAACGAGGGAGCGGGAGGGGCGGCGTGTTCAACTTGTTGACCGGTGCCCTCACGCTGATTTTGTTTTCTCCGGAATGCCACTCCCACACCCACTTTTCTAGTTTCTACTTTCTACTTTCTACAAAGACAAGGAGAAAGTAAACGATCTTTTTGTTCCGTCAAAAGAATACGAAAAACATGAGAAAAACGCAGCGTTTAGAGGGCCTCTGCTAGTCTGCTTGCAGCTTGCAAGTTTTATCTCTGTTTCTCCACGGCTTTTTCACTTTTGGGGAGGGGGCCTCTTCCCGGGCCCCATTGCTTGCTCATTAACAACTTGCATTTCTATTGGTCAGGTAGGTTACATAGAGACCAAAGCTGACCTAAAAATATGCATGTCATATGAGGTTCATTCATTACGTATTCATAAAATGCTTGTTGAGTTGAAGCTTACATGTATTAATTCCATGCGTTGAGTATATAATGACTGTTATAAATTAAAATACTATATTCATTTCTACATATAGAATGTAGTTTGTAATGCAATTTGTATTATAAATTAAATTTTATATTTAGAATTGGAGGTAATATTTAATATCTCAATAGAGCTGTATGGATCAAAAATAATATGCATTAATTGCAATAATAAATCTAAATGTTATTAGTGATAACATGTCAACAAGGACATGATCATGCATAGTCTCGGAGAAATCATTTGTTTGGATTGATCTTTTGTTCTTTTTTGACACGTTGTCCATTATAAAAAGAGGTGAGGTCTTGTGAAAGTCTAAGCTACACTACGCATATTATTATTAACATGCTAAATAGTAAAGAAATATGACTGGAATATCCCTTGAAAAGTAATATAAACGAATCTTAATGCCGCCGGCTTCCCGATTGAACCCACCGCGATAAGCAACGGAGATGCACACGGCACCTCAAGTCTCAACAGCTAAGCATCCCTTATACTATCTCCAGTTTTTGTGCTTAACCCAGATGTTTTAGGTAGTTTTGCGAATAAACTGAGAATATACATTTTTTTTAAATAAAATTTGTCGTGGAAACGTTGAAATAAACATTAAACGAGACAGTGACACAATTATTAAATGAAGAATTAAATTAAAAATTTCCAGGTTAGGTAGTTAGGAGCTACAGTGGACAAAAAAATCAAAAGAGACTAGTGAAGTTAGGTGCAACAAATTAATCATATTCGTACACCGAATTCCGGTAGCAATAACGCGGTCATAAACCCAATTAATTAAAAGTCCTACTGATTTTAATGTTCTATTCTTGAAACGTTTTCCCGTAACCTAACGCGGAACTTCCACGCGAACAGCGGCTTGAGATCATTGAGCGCGATGTAGTTAAACGTTTTTTTTTGGGTCCAGAAATCTTTTTTTTTTTGCCAAACCTTGATATAAAACCTAATTGACTAATTTAAAGAGATTTTAAAAATTATTTAAATTAGTTATTTGTAATAAATAAGTGTTATCTTTCTTAATATGTATATTAGCTAAAATTATTATTTAATAGAACATTTAACACGTGTAACTATTACAAAAACTATTTTTTAAAAAAATAGATAAATATGAAAAATAAAGTGGATTGAGGTTTTATATTTAGATTGATAAAATTAACTTGTAACGCGAACGTGATGAGAGATGGCGACTTCGTGAGCATTAAAATTAAAAAGTGGTGATTAAACTGAGGATTTTTTTTTTTGCCATCAGATCAAACTGAGGGGTCACTTAATTGATGCTATAATATTTAATTTTGCGCTATTGAATAATTCGAAATGGATCAAATATAATATATATGATGCTGGAAGTAGCTATAAAATAATGTGGAGTAATGCCGAGGGAAAGCATCTGAATGAGTAGTGCATGGAGATCGGCGGCCAGACGAAACCATCGTACATATATACAAGATGGCAGGGAGGAAATCTCGTGATCCAAGTTTTTGCAATATTCATTAATTATTTTAAGGCGAAGGAAATTTGGCTTTTGGGAAGCGCATGTGTTACGTGTCATAATTTTTTTTTTGGGGCCTGTGTTATTTGTCATAATGAAGTTTATAATTTGCAGACACCCAACAAATTCACAAACTAATTGCGAGCGCTAATCAATAATCGCTCACGCTCATTACATTTCACGGAAAAACACAAATATATGTATATATAAGTGAACATTTCCCCCCAAAAAAAGGCTTGATATGAACAAGATCGACAGCAAATGGAAAGCTACGCATCAGCGCAAGCCTGTCTCGTAGTCGTCCATCTCCATCCTTCTTTTGTTTTTCATGTCGGCCGGATAACAGGGCTCTTCTGGTGAATGGCCATCTTGTGGGCCCCCTTTGGGTCCACAGCACGGGCAGTGAAATAAGATTGGGCCCCTGACCTCCAATAGTCTCTAAGCCCATCCTCGTGCACAGACTCGCGGAATAAATCCTCATCTCATGCGTTCATCCAAAATTATGACGGCGTTAATATAGATGATTATATGCGGAGAGCTATTTTATTAAAAAAAAAAAAAACCTGTGCTTGTCTTTTTTGCATTAGCATCTTAAACTGGGCTTGCAGAAAGAAACAAACAACATCAAGTGCAAACGGGCCCTGCACTGCAGAAGCGCCATTTACATCGAGCTATTTGCCGATAGGCAGCAGGACGAAATTTGAAGAGGGTGGGGACAACTTCCAATTTTTTTTTTTTTAAAAAAACAACGTGCTCTGATTCTGAAAAGCGGGTGAAGCTGAGGCTTCCAACAAAAACCCGTCATTACATTCACAAATTACAAGGACAAACTACACTTCCCTACAAAGTCGATTCGAATTTTCGGACCGTTGGGGTCAGTTGCGGACAAGTAACGGTCGGATTGCGGAAAAAAAAAACTTCCAGACCCGTTGCCATCACTCCTTCAAAAATCCCTGGCCTTCGACCAGACGAGAGGATTAGACATCACCCCCACTCTCTGATGGGTTGTGTTTCCTCAAAACTCCTGAGGAAAGACCTCAGGCAAGAAGTCTTCATCAACGCCAATGGCGGCGACTACGTGAATCATGTGGTTTCTCTTACTTCATCCACCTATGGAGCGCTCAAGTTGGACAGCGAGCAATCCGTCGTGGAGTGTGTTGCAGATTCTAAGAGGCTTGAGAAATCGCCTCCTCGCGAAGACCTAGAGGTCATCAATGCTTGGGAACTCATGGAAGGCCTTGAAGATGGTGTTCCCGTTCCAAATCAAGCTAAGAAAAGCCCAAAACCTAGTCCTTTTCTTCGCGGCTTTATTGGTCCTGATGCGAGAAGTCCTTTTAAGTTATTGAATCAATTTGGGTCTCCCAAGACTGTGAAGAAGTTTGGGGGCAAGGAGAATAAAGTTCAAGGCAATGTGGTCAGAGGCGGCATGAGACGCTTAGATTATAGCCCGAAAGGGATTCTCAAATCAAGTAATTTTTCTCCCAAGTCAAGCAAGCCACTCCTTAATTCGAATATTCCAGTGAAGGGGTCTCCGATTTGTGCCTCAAGGAGTAGTTTTGGCAGTGATCCTGGGCATTCATCTCGAAAGAGGAGCCCTACTCCCCTGTTTGACCCAGAGCTTCTTGCAACTTACGAGAAAGAACTCTCCGAAGAGGAAGAACAAATAAAGAGAATGGTCTGGGCAACACCCAAAGGCCGGAGGTCCAGAAAGTCTCAGGACTCGGAATCTGTTCTTCTGACATTCGAGAAAATAAGCCCTCCAGGAGGAGAAAACTCCGTAGTAATCTACACGACGACGTTGCGAGGCATTAGAAAGACGTTTGAAGACTGCAATAAAGTTCGATTGATCCTCGAGTCCCACGACATTCGCATCATCGAGCGCGATATATCTATGGACGCAGGATTCAAAGAGGAATTAAGACAGCTAATGGGAACGAAAGGAGTAAAAGTCCCAGTGGTGTTCGTGAAGGGAAGGCTAATAGGAGGAGTTGATGAAGTGGTGAAGTTAGAAGACGACGAGAGAATTGGGTGTCCTGTTTGAGGGGATTCCAAGGGCAACAAATGGGTGTGAAGGGTGTGGTGATGTGAGGTTTGTGATGTGTGTGTGTGAAATGCAATGGAAGCTGCAAGATCCTGGATACAGAACACCAGAAGACAGTGAAATGTGGTCAGTGTAATGAGAACGGGTTATTCAGTGCCCTATATGTTGTTCATTTAATAAGTGATATCTTGGGTAGAAAAAAGTTTGACTTTTTTGTGTTATTGTTTGCTCCCTTTAATCTCTAGGAAGATACAGACCAAGAATGGTGTTCGGTTTGTAGCAATTTTAAGTTATGTGTTAAACTAGGGTAGGGTTCTAAAGCGTGTTTTAGGCCCCCGCGTGTTTGTTGATTCTTTCTATCATTGGCTTGTATCTGGGGACACGAGTTGCTCCTTTTCTAATCTAATTCAAAATTTACACTTGTGACATTTTGTTTGGAGTACGCCTACTCATTTTCAACACATCGAAATTGAAATACCTCAAAATGGCAGACAGATTCCCTCTTTCACTTGTGTTATTGACATGCATTGGCTTCGTTTGTTTTCTGGCTTGGATGTGGAGCCTAATATCATTTGTCCTTAACACTGATGATAATTCCATGAAGTTTTCTTTGTTTTGTTTTAAATGAAAGAATGGCCATGTCAGGATGAAAACTTCAACAAGTGATGCTAGCTGTGCGCCGCCTTCTTCAGGAGTAGTAGTAGTCAAACATGAATCCTTGATTGTGTTCTTTTCTCTTGCTTTTGATCTTCATGAATGAATTGGCAGTTAGGATGTGGGGCTGTCATATTTGTTGGACAGTGGATCTGTGTCTTCTACAATACTTTTTTCTTTTTTTGCTCCTTTTTTTTGGACACAAGAACAATTTTATTCAATTATTTTTAATATTGGTAGTCTTCCAATTACTTTTCAATATTGTACATGACTATTACTTATTACATTGAAAGACTAATAGCATCTTTATGAGTAATCACCAAAGCATTCCTTGTCCCTTGGCGATGCCCGTTTGTAGCCTCTGAATGGGTTATTTTCTATATGAGCAGCAATTTCCAAGCTATGGGACACTGTTGAAAGAGTTTTTGAAGGATGTGGAAATAGAATTTCAA